ACAAAATGTTGCTCGTAACTGCAGTCGTCAATGTTTCTCGGCGAGATTGAACTTGATCTGGAATCATACAAGAGCTTGCTATGAATAGTTTGATCTAGGCGCGAACCTTAGTTAGCGGTGGAATTGCTGTCTCCATACCTCGAGATTTTTCTCGAACGAAGGTTCCAACGCGATTGTAGAAAAGCTTGCCCTGGGGTCAAGCTCGTACCTTGACACTGGACTCATCTGCGAGCTCCCATTCTCATCGTCGGTCGCACAGAGAGCTTAATCCGATGGAAGATAGGGGCGGCGGATTTGCGTCGGTCAGCCTCTTCGAGCATCGGATCGCCCCATTGTTGTGAGAGCCTAGTCTAGCCAGTGAAGAAAAATATCTTACTGAAAGAAAGATCACATTGACCATCTGGAGGTGTTGGATCACATAAAATCCTGGAGTATTCTTCTTGTTACGTTCGATCCAAGCCGATCAAACGTCTTGGATGTAGAGGTTGTCTGGAAGACAATCCTAGCAGCCTGGCAGCATGACACCTGATCTCTCTGTCAAGAACTCCTATGGAAGTGCTTAAGCCTTGGTTCCCGCAAACTCCTCGTGGCGATTCGGTTTAAGCGGTCTACCAGCCTTCTCGCAATCTGGCTGCCGGATTGGCTTCAGTTCACTACGAGGCATGTCCTCCGTTTTCTAGTGTCTAGACAAGGCGGCGCCAGCAAAGCTAAGTTAAGTTCGCGCGGTTACTTCATCTGACTTTTCAGAAGATCGTTCCAGCTCAGGAGTTTAATCCTTGCGAAGTTTGGAAGGATCCTCCAAACCTTCTGAATCCTAACACAGGAAATCTAAAGTGAGACCTCGAGATCAAATAAAGCAACACGTAAAAGACTTGAAAACCTGGTCGTGCTTGTCGCTTAAATCGTCCTTTTGGAGAGCATCGTCCAGTGAGTTGTCAAGAAAGCTCAGATACTTCCCAAGAAAGCTCCCCTTCACCTCGCCAAGTTTCTGCTTAGACACTTCATGCTTGAGCCTCTGCTTCTGCAGAAAGTTGTCAAGCGCAACCCGGTCACGCTCCATGGCTTCTTTCACATTTCCAAGAAAGAAGCGCCTCTCCTTCTCTTTTTCCTTTTCGAGAGACTCCTGCTTCGTGAAATCTCTCTTCATCGTTTCTGGAAGCTGAGAACACGCAACCGAATCAATACTTCCGACCTAGAAAACTATATCTAAGTGTCACCTTCGTGGTTTTGGGACCTTCCAGCGCTGGTGCTGTCTGATCCTCTTGCTTTGCAGTCGCTACATTCGTTCTTGCTGAAATAACCTTGCCATCGTCCAAACCTTTGGTTCTCACGCTTTGTAGAGCTATCCTGTTCTCTATATTCTCCTGGCATTGAGAGCATACGCAGATATCCAGCAAGCTTCGAAGACGTCCTTCCGCGGCCTATAAAGAAGAAAGAAGAAATAAAACGATGGTCTAAACTCAAGAAAGAAGGAGCCTTCGACCAACCTTAGCAGAAGCTTCCATGTTCAAAGCATTCTCCTCCGAGTCGATGAGCGCCTCAATCTCTTTGAGAAGCTTTAACTTCTCACGAGAGAACCCCGCCAAGTCCCACAGCTCCAGCTGCCTCTTCTTGTTCATCAAATCCCCACCGTGATCCTTCTTCGACCCGACCCTGGACCAAGCTGCCCTGTTCGACCAAGGATTCGATAGGAAGCCCTTCCCATTCACCGACATTGTCCGAAGAGCATTGGCCTGGAGCGCGCGGAGAAAGTTTGGATCGTGCGGTGGTGGTGAGTGATTGAGCTGCCGGAGGGAGAGGAGTGAGGAAGGGTGAGGAAGTAAAGGAGGAGGAGGAGGAGTGGCGACATTGATGTCGCTGGAGATCTTCTTGCGCTTGGCGGTGCCGGCGCCAGGCCTCCACTCCATAGCCACGCGCGAGAAGGGCCACTGGAAACCCTCTACCCTGAAATGCCTCTTCTTGACGCCATTGAGAGCTTCCATGGCTGGATCATGCTCGCGCTACCCCGAGAGCATTGCGCCGCCGGAGCTGCCGCCACTCTGTTCGCGTGACAATGTTATAGCAGTTAGTCGTTAAACCTGGAAATGGTCTGCTGCCACGGCCACCATGGCCTCGCCACGTGGTCGGCGACGATCGTGTATGCGGGGCAGTCACCAGAGCTTACGCCGTCAAATTAAAAACAAAGAACGCCATGGTAATGCTCGGCTGGCATGGTAATTCATTTGAACTGTGGCATCATCGCTCGCCTCGCCACGTGGTCGGCTAGGATCTTGTATGCGAGGGCGGGAATAAATTTAAAAACATGAATATTCGTTTCTTCTTCATTGCTTCGTTGCGAGGGTTTTTTGTGTGGAGGAAGTGCGATGGCGGGCAAAAGCTCGACGAGGGCAGCCGACAACGAGAAGAAGGGGAAGAGGAGAATGCCGAGGAAGGAACATCGCGGGATCAGTGAATCCCAACGGCAGCGCCAGGACAAGGAAAGGGCCAAGGCTCAAGCTGCGCAAGGTGAAATTTCGTGCAATCTCTCCCGAAATATCTCTCCCTCACTCTCAATCTCTCCCTCACACTCGAAATCTTGGCAAAGATTCTCTCTTTCTCTCTCGATCTCTGAAATCTTGCTGTTTCAGAGAAGAAGACGCGCGGGAACGATGCAGAGAGAGGAGCAGGATGAGGCCGCGAGCTCGTGGTGCTGTGAGATCGTCGAAAGAAAGGGCGCGAGGCCATGTATCGAGCGGCAATCTGTTGTCATTTTGTGAATTTGATCCAAGGCGGCTGACTTTCATCCTACATTCTCCCACTGCCTGGTCCGGGCGCTTAGCCGCGAGAGTTCTCTCTCGATCGAGCGATTTCCAAGCCAACGCCGCCGCGGATGGAGCTTGCGCTCGGATTTCTGCCGCACCAGTGGCTGGATTTCGATTCTGGGAGGGAAGAATGTAGCATCGACAGAAATTTTTAAAAATATTTAGGGTACAATTGTCCATGGCGGCCGCGTCTTGGATCGCACAGCGCGCTCCCGCTCGGAATGGCGCCAGGGCGAGCTTGGAATCCCCAGTTCTTGGTGGCGCCACGGCGAGCTCCATCGGATGGCCGCTTTGCTACTGCGGGAGCAAGTCGGATGGCATCTCGTTTTCACTGTAAGTCATTCTCGTTTGTGCTTGAGCTTGGAGTCGCGAGTGTGTGAGCGCTTGTGCTAGGGTATGCTGCTGATGGTGTTCCCGGTGTGCCTGGTTTTACAGCTCTGAAACTTATGAGGAAGCACGGCTCGCTAGAAAATCTAGTAAGTGCAGCGGCAATTCGGACGGTTGTGAAGCCATACATGCAAGATGCTCTCAAGGAGCATTCCGTGTTGCTTGAGAAAAACTTGGAAGTTTTGTCCTTACGCAGGTAACTGGCTATTCTTTTCTAGCATGCCAGGTGATTTTCTTATTTCCTTTTTCTTGCAGAGATATTGACGTAGAGCTGGTGCTTGTCGAGGGATAAGTCAAGCGATCTTGCTGCATTGAAGGAACTTGAAACGTTGCAGGTTGTTTAGCAGCGGTGAACTGATCAGGCTCAAGGTATGAAAATTTTGAGCTCGCTTTATCGTTTCTTACTACGGCCTTCGTAGAATCCATAGTCTGTCCTTGATGGAAGCGAAGGTTGGTCCACTTCTGCAGAAACCTCAGGGTCTTTCAAATGAAGTGTACAGACGAATGCAACGTCAGGGATTGAAACCAGCCATTGGCATTGTTGTTGGTGCTCTCAAGGTATGTAGAAGCATGAGAGATCTACAACTAGGCAGGAGAATGAACAGGGATGTTTCCGAGACAGGTGACTTCTCAAACATTATCGTCGCCAACATCCTGCTTGATCTGTACGCGAAATGCGGAAGCATGATAGATGCTCGTGGAACATTTGACAGCATGCCGCATCGCGATGTTGTCTCCTGGAATTCGATCGTACAGGGATATGATATGCACAGAGTGGAAATGGTGAAATGGCTCTACAGTTGTTTGCTCCTCTGGGAGACGAAGGGTACAAACCGGATCGAGTATCAGTTCCTGGTGCTCTCAAGGCTTGTTCCAGCTTGATAGAGAAGGATTCCGGGCAGGCTTTGGATGGTCAACGGGTGGTATTCTTAGAGAGGAGCAGGGAGATTCACAGGAAAGCAGTAAAACTTGGCTTAGACTCGGATCTCTTCGTCGCGAGCACCTTGATTGATCTTTACGCAAAATGTGGGAGCTTGACAGAGGCTCGTCGAGTTTTCGAAGGAATGAGCCATCGTAGTGTGGTGACATGGAACTGCATGATTCTCGGGTATGCCAGCAGCGGCGAGGGTGGTGAAGCTCTCGATATCTATGCTCGAATGCGTCGTGGAGACACTCCACCGGATGCTTTAACTTTCATCGCAGCGCTGAAAGCTTGTTGCCGTCTTGCGGACGAGGAACTTGCCCATGCCCCGGCACGCATTCGTGGCATGTTTGTTCCCCCATCGATGGATCGATCAGTTGTTCATGGTGAAGAAGAAACGGAAGTCTTGAAGATTCAGAGCTTCGAAAAAGGAAGGGCCGTTCGCTTGGAAGCTGGTAAGCACTATTCAAACATCTTAGTGACCAACACACTTGTGGAGTTCTATGCCAACTGTGGGAGCATGGTGGAGTCTCGCAGTTTCTTTGACAGTATTGAACGTCCAGACGTGGTTTCTTGGAACTGCCTCACTCTTGGTTATGCTCAGAACAGCAAAGGCGAGCAAGCTCTTGAGATATTCTTTAGCATGGACGAGAATGGTTGCGCTCCAGATCGTGTCACAGTTCTTGCTGCACTAAAGGCCTGTGTCACCTTGGCTGAGAAGGAACAGGGCCAGATTGTCGACGGAGGCGTCGTTAAGCTTCGGGCTTTGCAGAGAGGCAAGGCCGTGCATGCTCGAGCTCTCGCTTTTGTGGACGGAGAAGACCTCTCGGTTCATAATGCTCTCGTTGACATGTACGCCAAGTGTGGAGGCATGGTGGATGCTTGGCTGGTTTTCCAAGATATGGTGGTGCGACTTGGACGGGGATAATCCTGGGGTATGCTTGCGGCGGCCAGCACAAGCTCGTCTTACAATCGTTCGAAAGCATGCAAGAGGAAGGTGTTAAGGCAGATCATGTCACTGCTACTGCTGCATTTAAGGCTGTTGCGACTCTAGCAGAGAATGGAGACCGCAAGCTTGTGAAGAAATAGCTGGAGAAAGGCAGAGCTCTCCACTTGCAAGCCGCAAGGATTTGCGAACTGGATGACTACTTTTCGGTGGATATGTATACCAAGTGTCAAAGCACGGCGGAAGTCTTCACAGCATCAAAGGCCCCTTGATCTTGGGATATAGTCGGTTTGGAGAACCCGAGCGAGCTCTGGAGTTCTACACTCGGTTGCTGCACGAGAAAAGCTTGTAACCGGACGTACGTTGCTGCTCTCAAAGCCTGCGCTGAGCCTTGCAGCACTGGACTTCGGGCAGCAGATTCACGTACAAGCTTGCAGTGCTGGATTGGATACAGAGGCATCGGTGGGAAGTTCTTTCTCTCAAAACGAGGCGCTCAAAGAGCGTGGCCTTGCAAGGTGGACGCGGTGGTGTGGATGGCATTCTTAAGTTCGTGCCTCAAGTGGAGAAATGTGGAGCTTGGCAGGATGGCCTTCAAGTCGGTTCTCAAGCTCGACGATGGAACAGGCTCTGCGTACTCTCTCACGTCCAACATCTATGCCCGAGGTCAGTCGGATTTACAACTCCAACATCATAGGAAACAGTTGTTGGAACGATTTAATGCTTCTTTTAACAGGAAGGCATGAAGAGAAAGGAACAGAACACAAGCGAAGAACAAGGATAAAGCAAGGAGAGGGGAAGCGGTTTAAAGGTATGTAATCGTTGCCTAATCCTACAACAAAGCATGGAAGTTTCTGGTCCCATTGGCCCCCGATGTTTATCATTTTCTCGCTCAACATGCCTTTGTGACCTTCCAACCAGCAGTGGCCTTGTTAAACAAACAGCTCCGCAAGCTTACCATGGATATGTCACTCATGTTGGTAGAGCCACAAACGCTCGTGTTTCCTCTCGTTTTTCTTCTGTCTTGCTTGGCTTGCATACTTTTCGTGTGTCGAATGAGCTTCCCTTCTTGCGAGTGAGTTCTTGAAGTGGCTGTCCAAAAGGCTTAAAATGACATGTTGTCTGGTTTTTTGTAAAATTTGCGTCACTTGGCTTGTAGAAACTTTGTTCAATCCATGAATTTGCGACAGGAAGGAGAGCGCTTGAACGTGGATGATGGTGTGCTTTGGATCAACGTAGCCAGTGGAAGTTAGAAAAATGGAAGAACGAGGTGAAAACATTGACAGCGAAAGAAAGCTTTTTGATCCAGGTTTGCGGATACGGTGAAAAAACTCAGTTTTGGTGGTGTAGTAACTTTTTGACTTGGCTGTGATGTAGGGTTGAACACGCAACAAATAAAAGGGAAAGAGTTGACGGCTTATAAATTCCCACACTCTAGGATTTTGGGAATTTAGGGTTTGATGGCAGAAACTTTTGGAAGGCTATCTGGGGATCATGGGTTGGAGAGGAAAATCAATGTTTTTTGGGATTCTGGTTGTGACCGTGATATTATCTCACAGAAATTAGTAGATGAATTCAATATTACTGTGGACAGTAATTCACAAGTTAAAGATTTCAAGTTTATGGTGGAGGATTGTGAATTTAAAACAAGTTTGACTGTAAAACCATTGATTCTTGATCATGATATAATTTTGGGTTCACCTTGGATACATCAACATTGCTTAGAGTTAGACTGCAGTGGCACTATAAACAGTTTAACTTTTGAGGTCAATAATTCTATATATTGCCTCAAGGAGATTGATGGTGCCCTTGATGATCACTACCAATTATATAAGTGCAGAAAATACAAGAGAATAAATCAACATATATGTACTACTTTTCATTATGCAGAATACAGTGGGAGAATCAATGATCATCACATCACAATTGAATTTGATAATGGTTCTGATTGGTCAGCTATATCACTTCAACTTCTCAAGAAACTTGGGCTCAAAGCAATTCGTGATTACAAGTATTTTACAAAAAGATTAACTGCAGATGTGCAAATGAAAGATGGTTATGGAATTGAGAATTTAACGTATAAAATGGGAAGCTTTTCAGAAAGTACAGATTTTATTGGTATAAAAGAGAATATAGATACCATAATTTTGGGGATGAATTGGCTTAAGAAGCACTCAGCAATAATTGACTTCAGGAATCATATTGTTACTTTTAAATCTAGTGAATTGGGTTGCTGGTATAGACTTCAATATCCAAATGGTGTATTTGAAGTCAGTAAAGATAGATTTGTTACAGAGACAGATAGTTTATGTTGGTGCCACCAAAAAAAAAGGGCCTCAGTTTTGGTTATGGCAAAGGCAAGCAAGTGGATAAGAATGGTTCTCCAAATCACATCACAATTCTTACTGCACAGGATCAGATTGTTGACCAATACATTGTTAAGCTTGGAGTTTTTGAGTTCTAAAGGCAAAGCCGTGCATGCTTGAGCTCTGGCTTTTGTGGACCAAGGGGACCTCTCTCGTGGTCATATACCTCTCTGGACATGAGTCATAACATAAATTGTTTTATATTTTGATTCTGTTTGAATAAATATTATCACAAGTAGAAATAATTTGCTACACATTGCTACATTCAATGCTTAATTTGTTTAATAGTACTGTTAGATGGTAGAATATCCTAGAATATTCAAGCATATTCTAGGTATAATCACTATCCCCTTATAGGTTTGGTTAAGCAAACAAATAATTTGGTGCCCGTTGCATGCAATAATACTTAATTCTTAATAGTAATATTATTCTTATATATTAATCCATTTGATCAAAGAAACGTTTATAATTATAAAGATATTGATAATTTATAGACACAAGATTAATCTTATTTAATATCAACCATTTGGTCGTTTCACACTGTCAAGGATTACGTTGAACAACACAAACGCGAGCCTGGGATTGAATTGGGACTTCGTATATATCCAGTTTCGTGAGTTTGGCTGATTATTTCTTCTTGTTTTTTTCTTTCCAAGGATGCTTGCTAGGGGATGCTGCTGATGGTGGTCCCGGTGTGCCTGGTTTTGGACGGAAAACAGCTCTGAAACTTATGAGGAAGCACGGCTCGCTAGAAAATATATTAAGTGCAGCGGCAATTCGAGCGGTTGGGAAGCCATACATACAAGATGCTCTCAAAGAGCATTCCGTGTTGCTTGAGAAAAACATGGAAGTTTTGTCCTTACGCAGGTAACTGGCTATTCTTTTCTAGCATCCAGGTGATTTTCTTATTTCCTTTTTCTTGCAGAGATATTAACGTAGAGCTACCAGTTGAGTGGTGCAGGGATAAGTCAAACGATCTTGCTGCATTGCAGTGGCTGGAGAAAGAACTTGAAATGCTGCATCGTGTCTAAAGAGAGGTATCTGGCTATTCGTTTCTAGCATCCAGGTGATTTTTATATATTTTCTTGCAGAGATATTGACGTAGAGCTGGTGCTTGTCGAGGGATAAGTCAAGCGATCTTGCTGCATTCCAATGGCTGGAGAAGGAACTTGAAACGTTGCAGGTTTTTTAGCAGCGGCAAACTGGTCAGGCTCGAGGTATGAAAAATATGAGCTCGCTTTATCATTTCTTACTAATAATCTGTCCTTGATGGAAACAAAGGTTGGTCCCATTTGTATCTTATGCCACAGAAGAAAACGCAGAAAAAAACCAAGAGCTTGATAGAGAGGATTCCGGGCAGGCTTTAGATGGTCGATGGCTGGATACAGAGGCATCGGTGGGAAGTTCTCTCGCTCAAAACGAGGCGCTCAAAGAGCGTGGCCTTGCAAGGCGGACGCGTTGGTGTATTCTTAAGTTCGTGCCTCAAGTGGAGAGATGTGGAGCTTGGCTGGATGGCCTTCAAGTCGGTTCTCAAGCTCGACGACGGAACAGGCTCTGCGTACTCTCTCACGTCCAACATCTATGCCCGAGGTCAGTCGGATTTACAACATCGTGGGAAACAGTTGTGGGTAAGTTATAATGCTTTTTTTAACAGGAAGGCATGGGGACTCAAGAGAAACGAGCAGAACACAAGCAAAGAACAGCGAAGAACAAGGATAAAGCAAGGAGAGGGGAAGCGGTTTAAAGGTATGTAATCGTTGCGTAATCCTACAGCAAAGCATGGAAGTTTCTGGTCCCATTGGCCCCCAATGTTCATCATTTTCTCGCTCAGCATGCCTTCCAACCAGCAGTGGCCTTGTTAAACAAGCAGCTCCGCAAGCTTACCATGGATTTGTCACTCATGTTGGTAGAGCCACAAAAGTTCGTGTTTCCTCTCGTTTTTCTTCTGTTTTGCTTGCTTGCATACTTTTCGTGTGTCGAATGAGCTTCCCTTATTCTGGCTGTCCAAAAGGTTTAAAATGCCATGTTGTCTGGATAATTTGCGTGACTTGTCTTGTAGAAACTTTGTTTAATCCATGAATTTGCATCTTACACGACAGGAAGGAGAGCGCTTGAACGTGGATGATGGTGTGCTTTGGATCAACGTAGCCAGTGGAAGTTAGGAAAATGGAAGAACGAGGTAAAAACATTGACAGCAAAAGAAATGATCCTGTGATCTCCAGGTTTGCGGACACTGGAAACACTCGGTCTCGGTGATGAGGTTACTTTTTGGCGCAACAAGGACATCGATGTTCACTTGGTTGCTAACAAGAGGATGTTCTCAAGCTCAAAGGGTTGAACACGTAACAAATAAAAGGGAAAGAGTTGACGGCTTATAAATTCCCACACTCTAGGATCTATAGGGTAGGGAATTTAGGGTTTGATGGCAGAAACTTTTGGAAGGCTATCTGGGGATCATGGGTTGGAGAGGAAAATCAATGTTTTTTGGGATTCTGGTTGTGACCGTGATATTATCTCACAGAAATTAGTAGATGAATTCAATATTACTGTGGACAGTAATTCACAAGTTAAAGATTTCAAGTTTATGGTGGAGGATTGTGAATTTAAAACAAGTTTGACTGTAAAACCATTGATTCTTGATCATGATATAATTTTGGGTTCACCTTGGATACATCAACATTGCTTAGAGTTAGACTGCAGTGGCACTATAAACAGTTTAACTTTTGAGGTCAATAATTCTATATATTGCCTCAAGGAGATTGATGGTGCCCTTGATGATCACTACCAATTATATAAGTGCAGAAAATACAAGAGAATAAATCAACATATATGTACTACTTTTCATTATGCAAAATATAGTGGGAGAATCAATGATCATCACATCACATTTGTATTTGATAATGGTTCTGATTGGTCAGCTATATCACTTCAACTTCTCAAGAAACTTGGGCTCAAAGCAATTCGTGATTACAAGTATTTTACAAAAAGATTAACTGCAGATGTGCAAATGAAAGATGGTTATGGAATTGAGAATTTAACTTATAAAATGGGAAGCTTTTCAGAAAGTACAGATTTTATTGGTATAAAAGAGAATATAAATACCATATTTTTGGGGATGAATTGGCTTAAGAAGCACTCAGCAATAATTGACTTCAGGAATCATATTGTTACTTTTAAATCTAGTGAATTGGGTTGCTGGTATAGACTTCAATATCCAAATGGTGTATTTGAAGTCAGTAAAGATAGATTTGTTACTGAGACAGATAGTTTATGTTGGTGCCACCAAAAAAAAAGGGCCTCAGTCTTGGTTATGGCAAAGGCAAGCAAGCTCTGGAGCAATTCTTTAGGATGGACAAGAATGGTTCTCCAAATCACATCACAATTCTTACTGCACAGGATCAGATTGTTGACCAATACATTGTTAAGCTTGGAGTTTTTGAGTTCTAAAGGCAAAGCCGTGCATGCTTGAGCTCTGGCTTTTGTGGACCAAGGGGACCTCTCTCGTGGACATATACCTCTCTGGACATGAGTCATAACATAAATTGTTTTATATTTTGATTCTGTTTGAATAAATATTATCATAAGTAAATATAATTTGCTACACATTGCTACATTTAATGCTTAGTTTGTTTAATAGTAGTGTTATTTCTATAAATTAATCCAATTGATCAATTAAAGTTCATAATTATAAACATGTTGATAATTTATAAACACAAGATTAATCATAGTAGAATAAACTAGAATATACTAGAAAGTGTTTAGAAAAATTTATAATCTAAAAACATATTTATAAATTAGAGATACAAGATTAGTCTAAATGAATAACAACTGTTAGATGGTAGAATATCCTAGAATATCCAAGCATATTCTAGGTATAATCACTATCCCCTTATAGGTTTGGTTAAGCAAACAAATAATTTGGTGCACGTTGCATGCAATAATACTTAATTTGCTTAATAGTAATTTATTAATCCATTTGGTCAAAGAAACGTTTATAATTATAAAGATATTGATAATTTATAGACACAAGATTAATCTTATTTAATATCAACCATTTGAATGTAGAATAAACTAGAATATATTAAGAAGTGTTTAAGAAAGTTTACAGATTAATTCAAATGAATAACAACTGTTAGAAAATATCTTAAAATATCCAAGCATATTTTAGATATATCCACTACCTTTCTACAGGTTTGTTTATGAAAACAAAAAATTTAGATAAATTGAAAACTACAAATAAATTATTCACTAAAAAATATAACATATATGTTTATACATATGTATAAAGTTTAACAGAAAGAGAATGATTATTTATATTTTCCAAATAATATTATAGTTATAAATAATACTCACTATTAAAAAAGATTATTCATTTTGTAATTTGAAACAATTATGGTTTCATTTATATTACCCAAATTAAACGCCAGGTGCCTATATATCTTATTTATATTAACATTATTGTTATTTTTATTAGTGTTTTATTTAGCATTGGATTGAAATATTATTGGATATTCATGGTATATTTAATTGAAATTATTTATTAAAATTTTCTAACACTAAGCACCAACATAGATTAGAGTAAAATGACTTTGAAACAACTATAATATTTCATTGAGTATTTCTTATGACAAAAATTTATCCAATTTTCCTACATAGTTTTCTTTTTTTCTAAATGTTTAAAATACAAACTTATGAGTTGGAATAAATACATGTCTATATATGGCATGCACCATTATTTTGAAAATTACTAAACTACTTAAGTGTTACCTCTGATTTGTGATCTCTGGCTCCATCGTAACTTGATCATAACTTGATCAAGGAGGCAGAATTATACTATGTACATACCAAAACAAGTTACTAGCTAACGTGTATATTTCACCTTTGTGGTAGCTTTCACATATACTAAAGCAAATTACATATATAACTTGTCGTTAACTTCCCATAATTAATGTATCATCTTGCACCCTTGCTTTTCATAGTGCTTCAAAAGAATTACCAACAATGGAAAGGCATGAAAAGACCATAATCTGGTAATGCAAAACAAACCAAACAAAATGGACTGTGCTAAAAAAGTATTTATTAAATTTGTGGTCAAAATGAGCACCAACACAAACTACTCATCTCTTTGCCAAATCTATCTTTACTTGCTTCATATATACCAGATGGGTATTGAAATCTATACCAACAATCCAACTCTTTGGATATAAAAGTAACAATATGATTCCTGTAGTTAATTATTGCTGAGTGATTATGAAGCCAGTCAATCCCAAGAAATATGGTTTCTCTATAATCTTCTAGACCAATAAAATTTCTTCTTTCTAAAAAGTTTAATTATAACATACCAATTCCATAACTTTCATTTGAACTTATGGAGTTAGTCTTTCTGCAAAATACTTGGAATCGTGAACTACTTTAACCCCGAGTTTCCCGATAAGTATTCCAGAACTTGCACAACCATTATCTATTTCAATTCTGATTTTCTGATCATTGATTCTCCCACAGTATGTATATGTTGATTTATTCTCTTGTATTTTCTAGACTTAGATAAGTTGCAATCACCCATGAGGCAATATGTAGTCCTCAAATGTTAAAGTATTTATTATGCCATTGCAGTCTAACTCTAAGTAGTGTTTATGTATCCAAAGTGAACCCAAAATTATATTATAATCAAGAATCATTAGTAATACAGTCAAAGTTCTCATAACTTCACTCATAAACTTTGAGTTACTGTTAATAGTAATATTAAACTCATCCACCAACTTCTCATCTTTCAAGCCTTTTGCTATCAAACCCTAAACTTACAAATTTTATGGATTTCACCAGCAGGGCTTTTGCTAGTCAACAACTTACACATGGTTCCACCATACGAGGAGAATAGCAATAAAGAACTTTCTCGAGTTTTCCAATTGTTGGTTGGCAGCACGCAGCATTCAAAGAACGTACCCTAATTTACCTTAAGAAACCACCAGTACATGCAATCTTTCTCTGGCATCGGAAAAATTAGTCCGTTACACTCGGGCACGAGCTCCAAAAATTTTCAAGCGGCTCCATGATGATCATTCCGGGATATGCCTCGATCGTGTTCCAACGTCGCTCAAAGCTCCTCGAGTTCACCAGCTTGCTCTGGCCACGATTCGTATACGTCGCGAATAGCCTCTCGGGTTTAAGTTTCTGCTTAGACGCTTCATGCTTGAGCCTCTGCTTCTGCAGAAAGTTGTCAAATGCAACCCGGTCACGCTCCATAGCTTCTTTCACATTTCCCAGAACGAAGCGCCTCTCCTTCTCTCTTTACTTTTCGGTAGAGCTATCCTGTTCTCTATATTCTCCTGGCATTGAGAGCATACGCAGATATCCAGCAAGCTTCGAAGACGTCCTTCCGCGGCCTATAAAGAAGAAAGAAGAAATAAAACGATGGTCTAAACTCAAGAAAGAAGGAGCCTTCGACCAACCTTAGCAGAAGCTTCCATGTTCAAAGCATTCTCCTCCGAGTCGATGAGCGCCTCAATCTCTTTGAGAAGCTTTAACTTCTCACGAGAGAACCCCGCGAAGTCCCACAGCTCCAGCTGCCTCTTCTTGTTCATCAAATCCCCACCGTGATCCTTCTTCGACCCGAGCGTGCTCTGGACCCTGGACCAAGCTGCCCTGTTCGACCAAGGATTCGATAGAAAGCCCTTCCCATTCACCGACATTGTCCGAAGAGCATTAGCCTGGAGCGCACGGAGAAAGTTTGGTACCGGGGGCAAGTGAGGAGGAGTGAGGAAGGGTGAGGAGGTAAAGGAGGAGGAGAAGGAGTAGCGACATTGATGTCCCTGGAGATCTTCTCGCGCTTGGTCGAGAAGGGCCACTGGAAAGCCTCTGCCCTGAAATGCCTCTTCTTGACGCCATTGAGAACTTCCATGGCCGGATCATGCTCGCGCTACCACCGAGGCTGCCGGAGCTGCTGCCACTCGCAGTTAGTTGTTAAACCTGGAAATGTCCCGCTGCCATCTCAAGTCGAAGTATATTCGTTCATTTGAAATTTAAAACAAAAATGTTTGCCTCGTAAACTTCCGGAGATACAGAAAACTCGGCAGTTCGTCAATGTTTCTCGGCGAGATTGGACTTGATCTGGAATCATACAAGAGCTTGCTATGAATAGTTTGATCTAGGCGCAAACCTTAGTTAGCGGTGAAATTGCTCTGTCTCCATACCTCGAGATTTTTCTCGAACGAAGGTTCCAACGCGATTGTAGAAAAGCTTGCCCTGGGGTCAAGCTCGTACCTTGACACTGGACTCATTCTCGAGCTCCCATTCTCATCGTCGGTCGCACAGAGAGCTTAATCCGATGGAAGATGGATTTGCGTCGGTCAGCCTCTTCGAGCATCGGATCGCTGAAAGAAAGATCACATTGACCATCTGGAGGTGCTGGATCACATAAAATCCTGGAGTATTCTTCTTGTTACGTTCGATCCAAGCCGATCAAACGTCTTGGGTGTAGAGGTTGTCTGGAAGACAATCCTAGCAGCCTGGCAGCATGACACCTGATCTCTCTGTCAAGAACTCCTATGGAAGTGCTTAAGCCTTGGTTCCCACAAACTCCTCGTGGCGATTCGGTTTAAGCGGTCTACCAGCCTTCTCGCAATCTGGCTGCGGGATTGGCTTCAGTTCACTACGAGGCAATGTCCTCCGTTTTCTAGTGTCTTCGCGGTTACTTCCGCCTCCTCGTGGAACCCGAGAAGTTTACCACCTCTGGGGTGAGTTATGGCGATTGGTGCTCTTAGGGAGAGGAGATTGGATTCTTTGCGATAAACAATAAGTTGCAACCACAAGAGGGATGGTTCCAAAATTGAGTCCATCACTTTAAAAAACAGATCCTTGGAGCTCCTTCCAAGCGGCGATCTCCGGGTCCACGGAAACCTGGTCGTGCTTGTCGCTTAAATCGTCCTTTTGGAGAGCATCGTCCAGTGAGTTGTCAAGAAAGCTCAGATACTTCCCAAGAAAGCTCCCCTTCACCTCGCCAAGTTTCTGCTTAGACACTTCATGCTTGAGCCTCTGCTTCTGCAGAAAGTTGTCAAGCGCAACCCGGTCACGCTCCATGGCTTCTTTCACATTTCCAAGAAAGAAGCGCCTCTCCTTCTCTCTTTCCTTTTCGAGAGACTCCTGCTTCGTGAAATCTCTCTTCATCGTTCCTGGAAGCTGAGAGCACGCAACCAAAGCAATACTTCCGACCTAGAAAACTATATCTAAGTGTCACCTTCGTGGTTTTGGGACCTTCCAGCGCTGGTGCTGTCTGATCCTCTTGCTTTGCAGTCGCTACATTCGTTCTTGCTGAAATAACCTTGCCATCGTCCAAACCTTTGGTTCTCACGCTTTGTAGAGCTATCCTGTTCTCTATATTCTCCTGGCATTGAGAGCATACGCAGATATCCAGCAAGCTTCGAAGACGTCCTTCCGCGGCCTATAAAGAAGAAAGAAGAAATAAAACGATGGTCTAAACTCAAGAAAGAAGGAGCCTTCGACCAACCTTAGCAGAAGCTTCCATGTTCAAAGCATTCTCCTCCGAGTCGATGAGCACCTCAATCTCATTGAGAAGCTTTAACTTCTCACGAGAGACCCCGCGAAGTCCCACAGCTCCAGCTGCCTCTTCTTGTTCATCAAATCCCCACCGTGATCCTTCTTCGACCCGACCGTGCTCTG